GTCATCTCATTGCACTTGTTGACGAGCTGAGAGATAGCCCTCAAAAGCGGACTACCTGGCGTACTCTCATTGAGCTGAATATAAGCAGCAGTAAGACGCTGAATGACAACATCCATGATCTTGGGAATGATATCACGGATCTCGGCGTCCTGTACAAGTTCATCAGTATCTGAAGCAACAACATGACGATTAGGAGGCAATAGACTTACATTAGGATTAACACTCTGGAAAACAGCATTAAGCCAGACAAGGCGCTCGGTAAGGTTACGATTCAGCGACTCAGACACCACTGCACCAGTAGACAAGGCTAGCAGCGGGGAAACCTGGCGGAGGTAGGCGGGGTCGCAGCGGACGAAGACAGTGTCGAAAAGTGCGGCGCTGCGGGGGGATTGCAGCCACTGCATGGTACCTTGTTCGTAGTTGCCTTCGGATATGAGACGAGTGATGGACTCAATCTCAAGCTCCTCTTCCGTCTTCTGACGGGGTGGGGAGCGCGTGGCAGCGACGGATGAAGCTTCTCCTCCACGTTGAGGCGCAGGGACTTGGCGTGCTTCGAGGAGCTTAGCAACCTGGGACTGGAGTTCGGTCTGGGTGGCGGCCATGGTTCGGATGGTCTCTAGGCATGTGTGCACGGTTTCAGTCAGCGCGGCGATCTTGGCGGCGTCTTCACGGCGCTGAGCATGAGCTTGTCGGAGCTCCGCGCCAATCTGTCGCTCGATGATGTTTGTCAAGTTGGATATGGCCGGGTTGACAACCGTGGCAACGGAAGCAGCGATCATGGGCTCGAAGTTGCCGCTGATTTTCTTCGCGACCTGGTCAGAGAGTGACTGGAACACTTGGGGTTGCTTGAAGGCACGAGCGACTGCATCAGGAACTTCCTTGGACAACTGCTGCGCCAAAACGGATTTGAGGTTGGTGCTCAGACCCTGTTCAAGAGTGGCAGTAGTCTTTGCTAGTACCTGAGGGAGCACGACGTTGCTGATGTTATCTTCAACCATCTTCCCAATCACGCCTTCAACATTCTCGTTGAGCGTGCTAGACACCATGCGTAGAACAGCCTGCTGGTTGGCGGCGTTTGTTGCGTTCAAGACGCGCTTGTCTTCGTCAAAGCGCTTGTACATGACGTCTAGCTCACGAGAGAAGCCCTTGGAGATCTCAGCTTGTACAATTTCCTCAAGCTTCTTGGCATCAAACTCTGCAGAAGCTGCAGAGGCGGGTGCAGCGTTTGGCTGCTGAAAGTGCTTGTTGATGAGCTGCTTGGCCCACTCGGGCGCTTCGGTGGTGTCGATAGGCTTAGACTTGGCGATCTCCTGCACGACAGGCGCCTCAGGTGGTGCCGGGGACTTGGATTGCGGGGTTGCCTGAGCAGCTTGCGCATATGACGGGGGCATGGCCGGGGGCGCACGGGTAGAAGCAGCAGTAGAAGCCACGGCGGATGGTGCTGCTGAGACTTGAGAAGCTGTCTCAGTGGCGGCAGAGCGCTTCTTCTTCTTCTTTTCAGACTTCTCACCACCATTGATGATAGCTGCACGAGCTGCATCCTGCTTACTCTCGACCTTTGCAAGGGTAGATGCACGCATAGCAGCTTCGGGATTGACGGATGGCTTCGAGACGTTGCTGTTCTCCCTCTTCAAAGGCTCTCGAGCAGCAGATCGATCAGACACCGACTTCGGTGCAGTGTTGTCGCCAGCAGTAGAGGATTCGTCTGTGACAGGCTGCGGTGGCTTGAGCTGCGAGATGGTAATCACACCCTCCTCCTCAGCCTCCTTGGGGTGCATGGGCTCACCCTCCTTCTTCCAGCCAAGGTCGCTTCGGCGGATGCGCAAGACACAGACACCCTTGGAATGCATGACGTACAATTCGAAGAGAGCAGCATTGTCAGGGTCATCGACATCAGAAGGTCCAGCGGGCTCGTTTAGCATGTGCAGGCTCCTGATCTGCCCCTTGGAAGCGAAAGAATACTCCGTGATGCTAGTCATGATAGCAGTAGCGTTGACTGGAGGCAAAGGGTTCTGGCCCCTGTCGCCCTTGTTGGCCAAACGGGAGATGTAGGCAGCCTGGCTCAGGGCAGGGAGGTTGTACCTCGGGCAAGAGACATGGACGAAGAAGATCGAGTTTCTAGTGGGATGGGCGACAGCCATGATACCAGTCCGGGGGTGGAACGATACGCTGCAGATGGCGTCCGATTCGTTTTCGTGGGGTAGGTGAATCTCTTGTACAGCCTTGTTGAGACCAAGATCCCAGAGCTGGAATGCATGGTTCTGCTTCATACCGACCATGACATATCGCAGCGCAATACCCTTAGTATACGGCTTGTCTTTGTCAAAGAAGAACACCGAAGTGGGCCATGACTTGGCATTGGGTGTAGTAGTGTGGAACTCTAGCAGGGTCTCGGAGACCTCGACCTGGCGGGGTGGGCTACGAGGGTTGCCCAGGTCAGGCTCGGTGAGAGCGCGGATGTCCCAAAAGCGCATGCGGCCAGCTTTGTCGAGTGACACGATGATCGTATCGTCTTCGCTGAAAGTGAAGTCTTTGCCAGCCTTGCCAGTGAGGATCTTGAGAGAGCGCTCCTTGAGGTACTTTTCGGTGTGGCAGATGCGGCTCTTACTACGAGCATATTCGACGGCAACCTTGGGGAAGACGATGTGAATGGACTTGCCCCTGCCGACAGCAAAGAACTCTGGGTGGCGCGAAGATGGCTTCGCGCGAGTCTTTAGCTGACCTCCAGATGTGTTATCATCTTGAGATGGCGACGGGGGAAGCATCAAACCCTGAGAGTCGAGGTTCTCGCCAAACTGGTCTTCACGAGCAGGGTCGAGAGAAGTCCAGAAGACGGTGCCATTGACGCCGATTCCAAGTATGCTTTCGAGGGGTTCTTGGGAATCGCCTGCCGAAGTGCAAAGGGCGATGTTGAAGATGCGTTCTTGGTGGTTCTCGAAGACCTGGCGGTAGTGACCGTTCTCCTGGCGGATAATACGGAAACCACCCTTCTTGACGAGCGCGTAGACAATGAAATTTCTACTGGCAGAAACAAGGGAGCGGTCAATCTGGTCGAAATCCTTCTTCAAGCGAGCAATGTCCATGAAGAGCTCGTTGGCAAAGTAGAGACGGCGGGGCGGCATCTGGTTGACCTGAATCGAGGCAAAGGCGCGCATAGGGAACCTGTAGACTATTACCGTCTGGTCCTCTCCCTTGGCAAGACTCTCCTCAGCTTCAGCGGTCTCCCAGTCTTCGGCAACATTATCTTGTGCAATCTCAGTGGCGACCTCCTTCAAAGCAGCTGCAATGGGCTTGGGCATGCTAGCCTCAATCTCCTTGGCTGTGCTTGGGTCGGCAAACTCGTCCTTGATCTCGGTTGCAATCTCAGTCATAGTCTCCTGGACTTGTGCAACTTCCTCGGGCATGGGGAGAGCAGCCTCAGCTTCGGCTTCGGCGAGCGCATCCTCGATCTGCTGGCCGACGTGCTCGCCCAATTCGCTCACGGCCTCAGCCACAGTTTCGTGTGTTTGGGCGGGAGCGTCGTCGTGGGGAGCAGGTGAAGAAGGCTCGGGTGCGTTTTTCTTGAGGATCTCCATCTTCGGGGGAGGAGGCTTGGAGCCTTGCTGGGTGGGGGTACGGTTGCGGGGACTGGCAGCTTCGAGCGTGTCGAAGGGATTGACGTAGGTGAATTTGGGAGCGAGGGGAGCTGCATCGGCAAGCCCCGGGGTATGTACAGCGGGGTCGGAAGATACACGCTCTTGCTCAGCGTCTGCGAGGTCCTGCGCGAGGTCGTCCACAACCGTCTCAGGCTTGTGGGATGCGACTGGCGGAGAACGCACAGCGGAGGCAGCCCGAGATGAGCGCACGCTGCCGCTAGACTGGGCTGGCTTGGGGTGGTTCAGCAGGCGCAGAAGAAGATCCTGCGGGTTCTGCTGAGGCGACGACTGCGCTGGGGCGGGAGCGCCCTGGGAAGGCGTCCTGGTACCCATGACACTTGCCAGGTTCAGGTCAGGCGCCTGCGACTGCTGCGAGACGCGTCTGGACTGTCCGGAACCGCCCTGCGAATTGAAGCGGAGAAGGTTGAGAAGGTTTGTGGACTGCTGTTGCGGCGTCTGCTGCGACACGTGCTCGGGCGCGGGCGTGTTGGCCATGGATGAGTTGGGCGACATGATGGCAGACTGGTGGTGCGGCTGCGGGCCACCTGGCTGGGGGGAGAAGAGAGGCGAGGAGACAGAGGGCTGTTGATAACCCTGTTGTTGCTGCTGCTGCTGCTGCTGCTGCTGCTGGTTGTTGCCGGACGCGCCACCGTTGAGACGGGCAAACAGCTCCTGCAGGTCCGCCATGACGAGGGAGGCTAGGGCAGATCTGCGTCAGCGTTAGTGAGGTGAGAGACGCGATTTCACCGCTGCCGTCGATGGCACAGTGACGCCATGGACGACGTACTTTACTCAGACCCAAAATTCAAGTGCGTGGCCGAAGCCCAGGTGGTGAAAGCGCGAAGCTGTAGTGGGCGAACAGAAATTATCACGAAGAGAAGAGCTGACGAGCAGACTGGAAATGAGGGCGACGGGCTGCGGTGATGCGCAGATGTCAATTGGCGATGCAAGAAGAAGGGCGACAGCTCGACATGATATCAGTTGGCGTCGGGAACAAGCTAGGCTAGCGCGGTTGGCAGTGGAGAAGCGCTGACATCCACACATCATGACTTGACCCATGGCCATGTCGCCACGTCTATCACCTCAACAAGACAACATGAGCTGTTCAGATGCCATGACTTGCATGCAATCTGTCTTTCCGCACTGCTCGTGTCCTCGTCAGATTGGACTGATTCCTCACCATTTGTGCCGGAAGAAGGTTAATAGTTATAGAAAGTCTCCAGTCGGTGTTGCGCTGCAAGTTCCAAGGCCAACCAACACTCTAAAGTACCCATGTACATGAACATCATGCCAAAATCTTACCCCAAGGATAGGTTACTATAAAAGCATACCCGCAAGTCTCTAGGGCGGTTTTCCACGCTCCAGTCACTTATCGCTCGGGTCCTTAAACCCAAGCGGCCGCATCAGCGAGTACCCGTACAGAGTACTGACCACATATCGACAATCAACCAAACAAAGTTTTCCGTTCTTGAACTTGTCCCTTCGCCCGAGCTCAGCCAAGGTGTAACAGATTATGTCAATACTGGGTTTCACGGCATCTGGACCGTGATTTCCGACAACAGCGTCTTTTACCGGCGCGATCAAATCTGGATCCATCAGATGTGGACCGTTTTTGTCGAGGACAAGGATGGGAAGGACCACGTATCTCCAGACCTGCTCAAATCTGAAGGGCGGGTTGTAGATTTCCCAACTTCCATCAGCTTCCCCGGCTTCGACGTGCTCCCTCTTCTTAAAGACGGCTCGAAAGTGGAGCCCGAATAGCGAGGGTATAAATCCCAAGACAAAATTGGTGCCTTTAATTCGGAACACTATGTGTTCGTGTGGGAGTTTTGATGGGAGAATGGCGTTGTAGGACTGAGTAATGAACTCCGTATGCGATACCGAAATACCAGAAGCAATCGAAACCATGTAGTCCTTTACTCTGTGAATATAGTCGATGGCTAGCTTCTCCATGGGGGAGGAAGGCTTGCGAGTGATGTCTTCAGATACTGAGGACATGTATTCCAGAAGCTCAGCTCGACGCACGTCTAATACATCTTGTAAGATTGTAGCAAATGACAAAACGTTCGAGGGCTCGAAATGGGCAATCAACGCAAAGAACAACATTGACGGAGTAAGGCTGTAGTCCACGAGCCTGCTCTCCATGCCTATGCAATCCGAAGCCATTGATAACAGCGCAAAGACCCGATCAAGACGATTGGAACACTCAGAATTGGCATATCTGTGTAACAATTGTTTCAGTGTCTTACGTTCTCCCTTGGTAGTCCTGTGCAAATCTATCATGGAAATGTAGTCGTCGTAACCATAAATTTCGTCGAAGGTTAATAAACTTGCGAACAGGAAAAAGGATTCCGCCGCGTTAGACCTAGATCCGCAGTAAATGGTGATGTCCTTGGCGAGGATGAGTTCTTGCTTGATCCAGGCGCGGCGCCAGTACGGTCGTTTGTTCAGGAGGACTACGGCACGTTTCCCTGCCTCCTCAATTCTCTTCTTCTCGTCTCCCTCGGCGGTCCCCAAGCTCTCTAAGTAGTCGAAGTATGCATCACTATCATCCGCCGCTGGACCCAGCCAGGCCAGGACGCATTTCGCGTTTCGATAAATATCACCCATCATGGCAACTTGATGGTTTCGCTCTGAAGTCACTCCTTGGTTGATGCAAATAGCATCAATCCAGATTGTAACCGCTTCATCACTCCTTCGGATGGCATTGAGCGCGTGCATAAGGCTGGGCTGAACATGATATGGTTTTCCATTCAAACGAATCCAGCGCTGTTCTGTCGCACTACCCCAGGTGTATGACAGCGCATTGTAGCAGTCAGTCTGAGCGGAAATGGTTTCGTGGGTGAGCTCGCAGTGTATTGGAGTGTCCCCGACGCCAGAGAGGAGCCTGCAAAGACGGAAAGAGTCATGAGAATGATCGAGAGGTTCGTAGCGGAAGAAGGGTTGCACCTTGAAGCCCATGATGGCATAGAAAGTGTGTACGGATTGAACAAAAGATTGATATCTGACTTTGAGCTCACAAGGCTGGCTTTCAAGTGATGCCTGGCACCACAGCCACAGCCACAACCACAGCCACAAAATTGAAACCTCGTTCACTAAAACAATAGTCATGTTACACAGATACCCCACTCCATGCTTGACGTGACCTTGTAAATCAACGCTCATCTCTCAAGAAGGATAAAAATAATAATAAAAAAAACTATTGTACAAACAGAAGATGCTTTGTCGAAGCCGACTCATCTACCTAGGGCAATCACCAAAACCCGACTGGCATCCCAACGCCTTCATACAGTACAACAAACTCGACCCACAGGTTCCGGATCGACTGCAGCAGTTACCAAACGCCGAACCTTTGCACGTCGACTTGCTGCTCGCGCCACACCTACGATCTGTGCTAACCTTCAGCTTGGCTGCCGATGACGTAGCCGCTGGGGCGGAGGAAGTGCGTGTGCTGCTGCTTGTTCCCGCGCGAGTGCTGGTCGAGGTAGAAGTAGTGACAGGACGGGTGGATGTGCTGAGGCTAGTGGGGCGTGTTGTTGAGCTCGTCGCCGCAGTAGAGGGAGCGGCGGAGGAAAGTACAGGTGCCGCACTCGACACCGCGGGGGCAGAAGACGAACCAGAGCCGGGGCATTTGCCAAACAGAGGGTTGCATCCCGTTCCACAGTGGTCAGCACTGGTGCCGCACCATCCATACTGCGAACAACACTCTCCCTCCGCGAATCCAGCGCAGGTGAAGCCCTTGGCCGCGCCACAGGATCCGTCACTTGAGACTACGAGGCCGCTGGGCGCAGAAGTGGGAGCTGATGCAGATGAAGATGTGCGAGTACCCGTAGATGCAGCGGCAGATCCAGAGGACGGGGCACCTAAGCGGTGGATGTACGGAGTCAGATTATCATCTCACATACAGTTTCCAAGAGACAGTACTAACCTGAAGAAGCAGAGGCAGAGTTGCCGCACTTGCCAAACCCAGCCTGGCAGCCAGTTCCACAGTGGCCGTCCGTGTTACCGCAGTATCCGTATTGGGAGCAGCATTCGCCTTGGGCGAAACCTTTGTTGTCGGTGTCAGTCGAGGCATTCCTGTCACCATCATTTGCGGTTCTTACCAAGACAGGTTAAGCCAGATGTACCTCCGCAAGTGCTATCTGTGGAGACAGCCGTGGGAGTGGCAGCAGATCCACTGGATGTAGCACTGCCGGCACCAGATGATGTTGCTGTCGATCCAGGTGCTGAGAAGGAAGACGAGGACGCTACACGGCCGGTCGCAGCACTTCGGTACCAGTTTGCTTCTGGTTCACCGAGACACTCACCTAGAGTGACTAGCTTGTAGCCCTTTGCCTGCATCGTTTGAATCATATAGCCAGTCAGGTTCTGGGCTGTCTGCTGGTGAATGTCATGGGCGATGGCTTGGAAAGCGTCGACTTGGGGGTTGCTGGGGTTGATAGCGTTGAACACCCTGTCTTTGGCGTTTTGGATCTTGTCCGGGGTGACGTTGTTGTAGTCGTCGGTGTCCAAGTCGAAGTACGAGACAACGTATCCTAGATCCGCGAGATCTTGCTGACAGCCTGATGCGGCCGTGCAAGAGGAGTAAGGTGGGCGCATGTAGGTGGGGAATTTACCCATGATGTTGGCAAATGCCATCTAAGATCTCGACTTAGTATCACGCTTTGGAATGCTTCGGCTGGGCCGTCATACCTCGTTCCTAACCATTTGATCGTAGCGTTGTTCCTTGGTGATCGCACTGAGATCTTGATGCGACCAAGTATGACTTGCCACTTGATGTCCTTCGGCAATCATACGCTGGATGGTAGCAGACCATGGCAGGCTCGCATCGTCAATCGCGCCCTTGCCAATATTGATTCCAGTGATGAAGAAAGTCGCCTTTGCATTAGCAGCCTTGAACTGATCCAATACACCTTCAGTGTAGACATAAGGACCATCATCGTACGTGATGGCAATCGTGTTCGGCTGAGTGCAGTCGTAGATACCCTCTCCACCATAGGGTTGGTTGCCAAGCTTAGGACGAGCAATGTTACGAGTGCTTCCTCCAGCTGGAACCCGATTGGCATCGCAGGCTGGGCCATATTGGAACTGGCAGTCTGGTGCCTGGCAATAATCATCTGGACAAAATCAGCATCTTTCTTTCGAGGCAGTTGTACGCGAACGACTTACTTCCTTGACCACAGTAACCTGCTACAGAGCAACAATATCCCTCAGCACAGCTAGCACCGCCATTGCTCGGTCCGCATCGACCATCAGCACCACCTTGACGAGCTGTCAAACGATGCTCGGGTCCTGCGACGTGCGCATGTGCCGCATGTCCACTCAGAATGTTCCTGGCCCTGAGTTTTCCAGCATCCCTCGGTCCCAAGCCAACGATCTTCGGGACAGGGAAGTCGCTGTGAGCAGCCACAAGAGGTGCGATCAGGCCCGCAGCACAAAGTCCGGAGAAACGCATTATGATAATTCAGTATGAACGAGTGTGTGAAACGAGTGTATGATCAAAAAAGGTTGATCGACCAAAATTAAGTCTGATATCGGTAAAGACGACGACTGCAAACGAGTGAACAGACCGCCCTTTTCACCGCACAAAATGGAAAAAGATAGACCAAGAAGAAGAAACGAAAGGCATGGGTGCTAAGGCATATAAGAGGCGACGACTAATCGCATGCCCAGACATTGGAAAACAATCAGAGAGACGCCCACTGTGCTTGGCCATGGCCGGGTCAGCCGCCGCGCGTGTCAGAGTTGGTCGAGGCTGACACTGAGACTGAGATACAGGAGGCAGCCGGCTAGCGTAGAGTTAGCAATGTATGGCATCCTTGGGAATTGCGGTGTAAGCGCTTGAGCAGTTCATCGCAGCGAGGTTCTTAATAGAGTTCCCAAAGATACTTGCGCGCATTCAGACATCTTCATGTTCTTTTGTTGTCGAAATCCGAACAGAACCTCCGCTAGCAACTCACGTCGTGACGAAGAAGCATCTTCTTAAGCTCGGTGGCTTTGTGGCGGTCATCAGCCAAGACACGCCCCTGGATCGTTTCCAAATCGGGTGTGTAGATCTGCATTAGCGCCCGAGATTCGCGTAGAAAGATCCGTGGTCCTAAGTTTGGGGTCCGGTCCAGATTCCGACCCTTTTTACTCCAGACTCTTTAAATAGCCCAGCGAGCTGGCAGAACGCACTCAGGTATGCGGCTCCGCACTTGAAGCTATATCCTTCGTTGGATTACACGATACATGGGATATCGCGGCCGGCTTTATCACCGCTTCGACTATTGGCGCTGTCATAGATGCGGCGATAAAGCTGACAGGTGCGGTGTAATATGTTCTTGGCATGTTGCAGCCGGTAAAGACTTCGGCGCCGCTGTCTCGAGACCCGAACGTTGGGCTCAAGTGTACTGATGTATGGGAACCCACGGTTTACCACCTAGAGCATGCCATTCGAATTGTTTTTCACGGGATCCGCGGAAGCACGAAACATAGCGGCATCAGGCGCCGGGATCCATGGTTCGTTGGGTCGAAGTCTGTCGTGTTGTACAAACGGTCATCAAGGTCGGGACAGATGTTGCGCAAGGTGCGTCACTTCCGCAGTCGTAATGTCATTGCGCAATCACAGACGCAGTGGCCGAGTGTGCCGCGAGGTAGTCGCATCTTGGGGAAATGAAATCATCTCTTTCTTTCGCCTTGGATTATTGATCAACATCATTCCTCTCGCTACGGTTCAGGACTTCCGTTGCACCAGATCAGATGGCACGAACAAGGACACCAGAGGACCTCGCGTACTCACATCTGCGAGAACTCCAGTCTACGAAATGCATATTAGCAGCGATTACATAAGTAACTTTGTATACGAGGATCTTGAGCCTGCATGTACTTCTTCATGTTTAATCGTCGTTTGTACCAAGAACCCAACGGTCTTGTCTACCAGGACACGGTTATCAAGCCTTCCTGTCAACTGCAGGGACAGGGAAAGAAGGGTGGCGCTGTGTTCTTTCGACAATCTTCCAGCTTTCTCTTTATAAAAAGGTCCGGCGGCTCATAGTATTGTTGAGGTAGATGACTTATATATCAATCATTAGCGTTATGCTACTACTGCCCTCGTTGACTTGGAGGCAGTTGGTAGTTTCAAGGTCACCTTGCAAACGAATTTCGTATTGACTGCTTGCTGTTCATTTAACTCGTACACTGCTTGTTAGAGTACATCTGTATTAGTCGAAGATGCAGTTCATTAAAGACATAGTATCTTCGCAGCCGAGTTACTGCAGCGACTGTTATTGCGATCGATACTCTAGGCTGTTGTAGATTAGTGGTGGGCTGGACAGCAAAAGACATAAAAGGAGATGAAGCAGGTGGAATGCGTTGTCTAATTCTGGTGATGGAACGAAGACGCAGCATACCTAAGATGGTTGATCCTGACGACTTGTAAAGGTACAGTAGGCAGACTACCAGGTAATACATTATGTTGTATTCTATGGAGACTTGAACTAGTCTAACTGTGGATAGCCTATCATATATGCCGTGTATCTCGAGGATATTAGTAATGATGGACGAGCGATTGGAGCTACCTTTGGAGGTCGAGAATTGGAACAGCTGGTGATACAAGAAACACACTTGGGCAGTTCATTGCTTGTGGCTCAGCAGCGCGACAGTAGTTATGGTGCTAAATCGGTAGGTTGTATACTGATACTCGCTCGCTACCCTTTGGAAATAGCAGCGTTCCGTGCGGTAGATGTTTCTAGCGGCATTATTATCCAGAAACACACTTTTGCTCAAAAGATATCTTTTCGGTTTATGTAAAATTTCCCGGCTGGTTTCGAGGAAGAGTACTTGGGAGTGTGCATAGTATACATCTGATGCATTTTGTTAAGTCAAAATTCTCTGCCTCTAACGAGCTCTCTAGTATCTGTTGAGTTTCTGGGTGGTGTACGCTACAAAAACGATGTGAACGGAGCTGTAAAAAGTTCGCAACTGAACCATAACGCAGAGCAGCACAACACAACGATAACCCCAACGTCAATGCCGGCAAAAAGATGGACTTGCAGGGAATCGAACCCTGGACCACTCCCAAGCTGATCCTGTGCGTTGTAACGCTCAGGAACTGATGCTAAGGGAGTATTATACCACTAAACCACAAGCCCGATTTTTGATGGAGTTTCGGCAGCTTGGTTATCTTATAATCTCGATTTTGTCAGAGATTTCGACAATCTTCACCGCAAACAGCGTTCTCGTGCGTCCTTAGGCTGGACTAAACTGACTTTTAGTGTGGAGAACAGCATTGTTCCAGACCATCAACCACCTGTCCGAGGTTTCAGGGTCTCCTGCATGATCACTAACATGCCTTTGTAAGCTCCTTCTGAGAGCAATGCTTCATGCATATGTCTACCTAACCTATGAGAATGCTTGGTATACTGACGTACAAGAATCGCTTCTGTGACGCCATCTCATCTGGATCTTGAGTCGGCATCGCCCACAGTACCAGATCTCTCGATCTAACTCATGCCACCTGTTCATGCCCAGACATAGAAAATTACATGCAGCCACGTGTGCGATCGTTCGGTTGCGCACTCCTTCCACGCCAGGTTAGCTGCAGATGTTAGTCGGAGATCAGGGCTGCATGAGGCCTGTCAAGCGACAATTCCCCTTCCAATGACGTCTCTGCATACCATTCAAAGTACTCCCAATCACACATGGATCCAAAGCTCACCACACCGTAACCACGGCGTGAGGGGCAGAATGTTCCGGACCCTCAGTGTACACACACCCCATAGCAAACTCGTCCCTTACTATCCTACAGAGCGACCCACACTTTGGAAGGAATCAACGGTGAAGCTAGACCGTATTTCGCTTAGACTAGCGCAAGCACAACCCCCGAACTGAAAATATCAGTTTGTGCCCCTCGCTCTCTCTCCAACGATTTCAAACCCCTCAGCTTCCGATATATCAATCAATTGGTGGTGTGCGACTTCGAGCGACTCTTTGCATACCTGTTCAGAAGACAACAATCTTCTAACGTCACTCCCTTGGACATTTGATACTTCGGTAAGAGCGAACTCATGGTGTTTGCGCTTATATCATGTCTAACATAACCAGGTCTCTTCCCCAAAACTCTACCAAAATGGACTCTTACCAAGCACCTGCTGCTGGCGCCGGTGGCCGTGGCTGCTACAACTGTGAGTTGATACCATGCCTACCATGCCGCGACATTTCACTAACAAGACTTAGGCGGAGACTCGTCTCACCGCGCTGCCGAGTGCCCCACCAAGGGTACCCCAACTTGCTACAACTGTGGTGAGAAGGGCCACGTTAGCCGTGAATGCACTTCTCCCCAGGCTGAGAAGACGTGCTACCGCTGCGGTGGCACCGGCCACATCTCGCGCGAGTGCACCAAGGACGGCGGTGCCCAGATGGGTGGCCGTGGCGGCGGCAGCCAAGAGTGCTACAAGTGTGGTCAGGTCGGTCACATTGCCCGCAACTGCTCCCAGGGTGGCGGCTACGGCGGTGCTGCTGGTGGATACGGTGGCGGCCGTGGAGGCTACGGTGGCGGTGCCGGTGGCTACGGAGGCGCTCGCCAGACCACCTGCTACTCGTGCGGTGGTTTCGGTCACATGAGCCGTGACTGCACCCAGGGCCAGAAGTGCTACAACTGTGAGTATATATTCCACACACACCTAGTAGGATGACGACTAACCCTTTCAGGCGGTGAGGTCGGCCATCTGTCGCGCGACTGCCCCCAGGAGACTTCATCTGAGCGTGTGTGCTACCGCTGCAAGCAGCCCGGCCACGTCCAGAGCGCCTGCCCCAACTAGGGTGTTCCAGATGCCGTCGATGTTTTGATCTGGAACGAGTTTCGATGCACCGAAGCGCTTCGTTGTAAAGCGATGTCGGTCCTTGCGCCCACGATGTGACGAATCATCGACATGATTACGATTTCTTTTCTTGTATATTTTCATTCAGCGGCTCGCTGCCGTTTTTCGACGCTTCACGAAAAGCACATCGTCGCCCGGGCATGATTGGACGGCCTTTTCCATTTTTTGGCTAGTGTGTTAACTGTCAAAGAGAGTTGGTTATCGGAAAAGTCTTGATCCAGGAAGAGCGTTTGGTGGGAGATACAATGTGGGTGGATGGGAGAGCGGATGCTTGATGCGAGCAATGAATGAAGCAGTTGCGTGGTCTGGACGGAGGACTGTGACTGCAGGAGAGCGAGGTGTTCTCAATTGGCGGATGACTGGCCTTGGGGTTTGCAAGTAGCAACTCGGGGCTGGCTGAGGTTGAATGAAGAAACCGGAAAAGTCCCCACGATTGGGTGGGCTCCTCAACTTTATACTGCGCCGTTTTCATGCACCGTGATGGACGTGCGCTAAACTAGTTTGTGTAGGCATGTGGGATGGTCCCATCATGTGCCATGCAGTACTCATGAGTGGTGATGATGCTGCTGCCACGGTTGCAGAAGGTAAAGCCCTTTGCACAAGGTAAAGCTCTGGATGAGTGAAGAGGAACGAATTTGAATTGAGTGCTACATCTCTAATACAAGTTATGTGTGATGGCTCTCGGGGAATTCGAGGGGAAGCGCCAAGACGCTGTGCCTGCTTCCCGCGCGTTCGTTTACCGTTTACATCCCGCCTGAACCCAAACAACTTATCGACAACGCCCTTGCGATTCGACCGCGACAAAACCGACGCGTCACCCACAACAACGCGCGCATACACTCGTTGCGAACGACAACTGCAGATATGGCGCCGACCAAGAAACGCGAAGCGCGCGAAAACAATTACTACAACGTTGGTGTGCAGGGAAGGTAGGCTGGATTCGTCCTGTTCAAAGTCGAGGCGTCGCGTAAACAGTAGTTAACATTGCGCAGGAAAACTGGCATCACACTCGAAGACAAAGGCATATACGACGAACATGGCCTCGAACCAGTCTCCGGCATCTTCTCGTCACCAGAGCGGTCCCCACCAAAGCGCGGAGAAGGTGCGACAGGATCAGGGTCAATGGAAATACAAAACAGTTCCATGCCCGACCTCATGACATCCCACCAAATCCTGCGGAACAGCCGAACAAACCTCCCTCCGCCCCGATCGCGATCGCCCAAGAAGACAAACCTCGGTTCCTCGCCGCGAAGACAATCGTCCATGGCGTTGCGCAGCTCACTTCCCCCATCTAGCCCTGTGCGCGACTCTTCCCAACCGATTGCGCGACGCCTCGACTTTGAACAGGACGAATCCAGCCTACAGGAAACACCAGCGCTGAGCGGGTCTGGCGCGAGGCGTGGAGCGAAGCGATCCGACGTGTACGATATACCCGAAGACGAATCGCTGGCGCCAGACCCGAGTGCGGTTTTTGAAGAAAGCATACAGGAAGAAATTGCGAGCCAGTCGGCCGCACTGCCCGAGGAGAGTTTTGTCGGACAAATAGGAGACGACAGCATGACGGACGACGAGGCAGTTGAGGAACTGGAGATTAACGAGGTTCAACAAGACTCTGAGGTTGTGTCAGAACCTCCGAAGGACAAGGCCAAGAGGGGCAGGAAACGGAAGAGCGATGTTGCGCAAGATTCAGAGGGGGAGCAGGAAGCAACAGAGCAGCCACGCAAACGGGGTCGCCCTACGAAAGAAGCCTCGGAATCACAGAAGAGCAAGAAGATTGCGCCTACACCAGCGACAGAGCGCCGACGGTCGCAGCGTGTGTCTGATATCAGCGAAATGGAGGCACCCATCGATGATTCTGTAGACCAATCTGAGCAGGTTGAGGAGCAAATTCAGGAGCCACTTATTGCACCGAAACGACGGGGGCGGCCACCCAAAGTACAACCAGATACTGAACAAGAAGAAAGCATCGTCGATGCGCCAGTTGAAGACCCAGTGGATCAATCCGAACAGATTGACGAAGTGCCTGCACCGAAAAAGCGAGGACGACCAGCCAAAGTACAACCAAATGGCGACAGAGCGTCAGCATCAGCATTGGCCAAACCAGCTAAGAGCGGCGCCCTAGCAGAGAAGTCTGATTCAGAATTTGCAAGACCTGAGAAACCCCGGGGTAGACCACCAAAAGCCAGTGCAGACTCCAGTAAATCAGCTCCAAAACCAAAGGAAAAGTCAAAAGAGAAGACTCCACAGGCGGAGAGCGAAGAAGCCGGCAAGCTAGTAGACGTCTACGGCAACCCTCTCAGTAAAAAAGACATCGATCAAATGTCTGCAACATCAGGCGGTTCGCGCTTCGGCCGCGGTCGTCACCTCTCCGTCTTCCGCGAAATGGATCCAGATAACGTTGCGAGAGTGGGTCGGACGGGTCGACACCGCGTTGCGCCCATTGATTTCTGGAAGAACGATCATATCAGTTATGAGCCGGACGGGAGTATGAGTAGTATCGTTAAGAGCCAGGCTGTTGAGGAGGAGAGGAGGGTGGGGAGGAAGGCGTATAAGACCAAAGGCAAGAAGAAAGTGACTGTAGAAGAAGAGGAGATTGAACTCGATCCCTGGGAGGAAGAAGGCACACTCGTTGGCAATTTTAGAGGATTCGATCCTGTTGGTGAGGTTGCGAGTGGTGAGATTGTCGAGGATGGTATGTTAACTTGTCTTTTCCTTTCCTATCTACGGCCTTTACATCCTCCTCCTAATTTACTAACTATATGTGCTTACAGCAATCGCGTGGACACAAAACGGTGTCCAACCCCGCGACGTAGGCGATGGCGGCTTCAAATACGCAAAAATCGGGTCCGTCGGCAACTTCTTCAACTGGGGGCTCATTGAACTGGGACCCGATCAGATGAAGCGGACCAAGAACTCAAGGTACATGCATATGATTTTCAATGTGCAGAGCGGGACGGTGGAGGTGAGAATGCATGAGAATGAATTTGTGGTGCATAAGATGGGGGTTTGGCAGGTGCCTAGAGGTATGTTTTGCGCTTTCTTTGTCTTTGTTCGTCTTCTTTCAAGTGTTTGGATGGCGATGAGATGCATGTCTCATTGCCAGTCTTTTACGCGCACTCACTGCACTCCCTTTGCTTACATTCCCCTTTCTCCTCACTCTCTTTGTCCCCTCCAGTCTTTGTACGACAGCCGTTGCATTATGCTTGACGCCAGACGGTTACCAGTCGGGTGTTCGCATACTTGTATCCCCATCCCACCTCTCCTGCATCACAACTTCCGCATTGCGCTGTGTACTCCTGCGTTGGAACGTCGCACAACCTGAGGGTCAGGGCGAGGAACCAGGGCAAGCGAGTCTCACAGGCAACATCTGGAAGCGAACCCGATTCGCGTCACCCGCATATGACTTGCAGCATGTTGTGTAACACTTGACGCCCTGCGGCTTATGTCATGTTGCTGCTCAACAGATGGTGCACAATATTGTCGTTCGCTTCTGTTCTGGCGGTTACGGGCGCACACCCTCTTATTCGCCCTTTCCGCTTCCCCAGTATTTCTTTTTCGGCTTTTTATCCCCCCCTTCTTTCTATTTATCCTCAGCCAACCATGTATTACCGTTTATCGCGTGGCGCGTTTCCCTTGGCTTGAACTGGCTTTACGCGTTCTCATTGGTGCTTTTCGTCTTTAGCGAAGGGAATAGAGCACACGAAGCTAACACGCTATCACGACAGGCAATACATACTCCATCAAGAATATCGGCAGCGGGACGGCTCGCATCTTCTTCTCGCAGGCTAGGGAACTACACGTTGAGGAAGCAGAATAAGATACAAAGTTTAGCCTTTGCCGCCAAAAGCCATTGTCGGAAATACAAACACCATTGCATACAGAGTCTGAGTAGTGGCGGTGTGGAATAAGCATCTAGCGGTCAACGTAAACATGCATGTGTTTTTACGGGCTTGATGCGAAAGGAAGACCTTGATGGTCACTCTTTCTGCTTCTTTTTTCCGGCATGTTCGCGCCTGCCCCGTCTAGACGATGGTGGCAGGTGGTGTTGGTTGACGTGTTCGCGCTGGCGCCACGGTGGAGACGGTGTGTGTGGGGCGCAGCAACTGGTGTGCATTCTTTGGAGCGTCTCCAAGGCGATCGTTTGTGTTTTAGCCCCAAAGTGGGGACATATGTACATGTCGGCCTTGCTTTCCTTGTTCGGCAGTGAGAGTCGTCGTGTTTCTTAGGCCCCGTTCATGTTCCGCGTGGCGCGCGTAACAGTGTTTGAAGCGGGTACGCTTGGAATTGGGTAACAAACGATGCGAGGGAAGCGGGTGAAGCGCGTTTGGCCCCGTTCCTGCTGGTGCAATACATGCAGATCATACGATAGCATAGCATGCAGGGTAAGTGGGAACAATCCGGGATGGTTTAGACGATATGATTATGGAATTGGATATGACATACATACATGTGTCTTTTCGATCTGCTGTAACGATGTAAATGCATGTGTATCCCGATTGGGATTGGGCTGCTTTTCTGCGTGGGAAGAATCATCAACTATCTTTGCATCATGTCTGCGTCTTGGTACTGCAGCTTTCCGCACCTGAGTCGACCACTGTGTTTTTCTTTCTTCTGTTCCGAGAGGCGACCGAACGCAGGTTCACCGCCTATCTGTCGGGGTTTCCTCGTCTCTTGTAGGTGTTCTTGTTGTGGTACGCTGTGAGTTGCCGGGCGGGTATGCATCGATCGTTCTCCGAGTCTGCAAGACTGTTGTAGTACAGATTGCAGTAGTGAATACATGGTAGTTAATTGTGTCGGTGATATCTTGGACATGGACAATTCAAAAGAGAAGTCGGCATGCAGATGCAGTGATGATTTGGAAAGCAACTAGAAGCACATCTGAAACCAGAACTTGAGTGATCCGGAAGGCGAGTGCATGCTTGGTAGATATCTCTGTATTTCCTGATTTCACCTGATTTTTGGTTGTGAGACATAGAATTCACCATGTAGTTTGTCTTTCACAGCATATTCAAGTAGCTTATAGGAATATCCCCACCTCTGAAACCCATCCAACGTACCTCTCTCGATGTTCAAGTCCAGCCTCGTTTGAGGATACGGACTCAAACACCAAGGTACCACAATAGCACTACTCGCTTTCTCTTGTGCTACTCAGCTCGCAACCACATCTACTGAAACCGCAGGATCCAATCTGCGTGCTATTACACAACATGATCGGCTATCTATGCATCCTGTCTCACATATGCCCACACATACGAATCCGATCTTGGTGTCTTGTGCAAAGCTCCTGCAATACGTAGCGGCTAACCGGTAAACCTCGCTTCTGGGCCTCACGTACCGACCACAACACAGTATAGTTTGGTGAAGAACGGTGAAGGCTAAAGACATGAAGTAGTCATTTTGCTTTTCTGCCTCGCCGTAACTCCAACAGATATGCATGTACATTACATAAACTCTCCAGGCCCGTAGCGTTTGGCATCTAGATCCAAAGCCACAGCCGAGCTGATGGATACAGCGTAGTGAGCGGTGTGCCAACACTGCGTTTTATCACCCATCACCCAGCTCCTTGTCTAGCAGATCTATATCAAACTTACTCTAACAGACTTGAAAGACACGTTGTGTGTTGGTGGCGAGAATATCCATGCGTGGTCTAGATACATGTTTTCCCCTATACCGAGTACGGCTACTACAACAAAAGTACCGAGACGGGCATACAGCACCACTACCGAGATGGACATGTACATACACTGCCCACCAAGCGGTGTGAAGCGGTGTAGAGAACCTTCTCGCACCTCCACCACCGTTGTGGCGTTACACACACACACACACACACACCATGCTTCGGTACCAAGTTCATCCCGGAAACCTACACGATCTACCCACTGACGCTTTTCTAGCTAACAATGGTTCTCGCCCTACACGTCCGCGAAAAGAAGACGATTTGTTTTGTAGCGGTGTGAAGCGGTGTAGACAGTTAGACCCTGCCCAGCCACTTGGAACTAGTGGTGTTGAACGTTCTTGACGTCCGGTGAAGATGGGTACGACACTACACATCCCACGATAACTACGTACCTTGCACTACATCTGCACGCTTCGCTCGCTAACAGTAGAGAGACTTTGTGATACAATCATGTTGTCTCGGCCGGTATCGTATTGTACCCTAGCGACGAAGTTTCCGACTTCTAGATGCAAGGAACATGTCCGTAGTAACGTGTGTGACAAGTTGGCCGTTACCTCGCCTCGATGTTGAGGGGAGAGATTGAAGTGGTAAGGTGGTTGGTGATACGGCTTCTTCCTCTTCAGCTATCAAACGCCCCAGCACAGATGTGAGAGAGGCTCGAGGTTCAAACGTTTCTCTGTTGGTGCGCAACTGTCGCGTCGTCCTGCCATCTCGTTTTCTCGCTCTTCCACCCCACTTTCCCAAGTAGGCACTCTGCGAAAGTCTGAATGCGGATGCGAAACAAGACATGTCGAAACATTCAGCCTGAAGAAGAACCAGCGATCCCGCAATCAACTTCATACGTTCAAACGTCATTGGTGCACAGAGTTCAGCCTCATGTGTGGACTCTTTTCTAGGTTATACAGAGCTGTCATCGTCGCAGCCTTAATTCCAAGGACGGAACTAAGGGCGGGGTATGTAAAACCACGGTTTTAAGGCATCCCGTTCCTTGCAATATCAGGCCCATGGTTGGCAACATTGATGTTGATGTGCTGATGCTGGTGTCTCATCATGTCTCCTCGTTGCGAGGGAGTCCCTACCAGGCAGGCACTCAAGGATAATCACTTCTTCGTACGGTGTGCCGTGTTCGGCCAGATAACGAAAATCATCGGCGTACTATGCCGAGCCCAGTGACATCTCTAACTTCTACTTTATGTAAGCAAGTTAGAGACATATTATTGTGCACGACTCGTGTAGTGTAGCCCGTTGTCGCGTGCCAGCGAAAAAAAAAGAGATTTCGGCTGTGATTAGTCGTCTTGTGGTTTAGCGGTATTTCCTCGGGCTGGGCTGGTGCGAACAGGGCGTGAACTATTCGATCGGCAGCACTAATCTCGTTGCCTTCTTCCTTCCCTTCCACGCTTCCTTCCTTTGCGGAGTGGCCTGCGACGCTATGTCTCAGTCCGATCGTCCGATTGCGGTATGCATCATTTTAGGTAATTTGGATATGCGGGCAAAGCACGGTACGGTACGACACTAGACATGAGAAAGCCGTTGGGCATGTGTGTCGGATGCGGAATTCTTGGTTCGGGTGCTGAACTGGAAACTATTGTACATTGGCCTATGCATTCTTTGCTTGTTGGATGGATGGGCGAGTGTTTGCACATCATTTGCATTGGCATTGGTGTGCTTCTTTTGACGCAGGAGGTGTGGTGGCTTGAGTATGAGCTGAAACTTTTTTTTCTTTACTTTTCAAAAGCCTGCGCGACATGCGCGAACGGACGATACATGGCTTGACGCATTGTCTCAACATGGCACAACTCAGCTGCTCTTCGGATGATGACATTGAGGCTCCATCTGTGCTTTGGCCGGCAGATTGGGTGTTCGTGACGATGACCAAAAGGACGGTATGACCACATCGCAACACAATAGCCAGGCATCTCGAACGACGGGGAAAACTCCGATCGGCCAAATCTTCATCTGTGCGAAATTAGATGAGTGGCACGTGGGGAGGGGTGTGTGCGAAAGAACATTCTTGAGACGTTCTTTTCTCCCCTTCCAGCCCGCACGGTTAGCTTGCTTCAAGGTGCAGCCCCCATGTCGCATGACATAGATCGAACAGAGCCAGGTGCCGCCAAACGCGTGGGCAGCAAGAAGTAAGGAACGCCATGGTGCCATTCTCGCATCTCTTTCCATGGAACAGCCCTGATGCAGAGTGGAGTGTGCCTGGTCCACACACATGTCACGGAACGGTTTTTTCCCTCGCTCTGCAGCTTGCGATTGCGATGCTCGTCCTTGTCACTTGTTTCGGCCTAAGGCAGCGATCCCGGGCGATCAGAGAACAGCACGTATGGTGATTACAATCATGCGATAACAAAGGCAGAAGCAAGATGTCATAATAATCGTGTTATGACAATCTGACAGGAAGGTTCGCGCGGGTAGGGTTGACGGGAGGCAGGTCCTAGTCTGCGCTGAACGTAAAAAAGGAGGGGTGGCTGGGTGGTGGTGGTGAAAGGCCCTGGGGTGGATCTGTGTGTCAAGTGAAGGGGTGTCGTCATGTGCAATATGCATCCGTCCCAATGTGTGCCCATGATTCGCGTTTGGCGAACAGGTGGGAGATTTGGCATTGGGATTTTCCCTTGTCCGCTTCGGGAAGGCTTCTCGAAGGGAGGGGATCGCCGGCCATACAGGCGAAAATAACCACACGGTTCATGCATAACCTCTTGTTCTTTTCTTGCATTTTGTTTATGCGCGCATACACAACTTGCGCCGAGGGGCGGCTCGGCCGTTTGATAATAGTTCACACATCCGTTCCGATCATGCGAACACCTATTGCGTTACACGGCCGACCCCCGGAAAAAGTAACGTAAGGGCGGTCACATAGTCGCCGTCTTTTGGTTCGTTCCCACTTTACAATTGCCGTTCCGTTCGTGTCATGTTGCATGCTCAGTTCGTCTCCGTATGCCAGGTTGCTCTGCATTGATTGAGTTCGGCATTTGCGCGGCGCGGTCTTCATGCCGATAAGTGTCATGCAGATAGATGAATCAATCTGCCTAAACGCGATGTCATGAATATCCTGGTGTGGTTGCGCGAACGAACGGCGGGTGGGTATACCGCAAGGGGAATATGTCATGGGCACAGAGTTTGGTTAGTCTCAATCGACCTTCTAGAAGGATTATGGAAGGTTACTGCGAGGCCGCACTGGGCAGATTGGATGAAGGAAAGGCCGGGCGCCCTACCTTGGGCGGGTTGAACTAGGCTGTTTCAAAGCGGTTCGTGAAGGCTGCGGGACGTGCACAAGGCATGGTGCATCTCAGCCTTGTGCTCCGAGGGGGACGGGAGCGGAGAGCGCGCGCACACACACAGACACCTACAGCAAAGTTTGAGCGTAACGCCAAAAAAAAGACCGATTAAGTTTGAGAAATGCAGAGTAAGCGCGCGAAAATGGTTGGCAAGGGCGGCAACATGGCATTTGACTGTGCTACTAATCGATAAGCCCTACGACATCCTTTGCATCGAAGCTGTCCAATCACGGCCCTCTGTTGCTTTTTGCGGGGCTGAACACCCTCATCTTCTGCGCAACAGAACCGATGACACGACACCCAGCAGCCCTAGCCCTAAAATAGTTTGCAGGTTACTTAGGCACACCACATGCAAGGACAACGAACCGTTCTAAGAACAAGTTCATGCAAGCAGCACACTCTTCTCGCCCGTCACACCCAATCGCATGGCACACAAGTGAGGCTACGAGGCTGTGCTAGTGGAGTTCAACTATGAGTCTGAACAACGCAGACCCTACACACCCTCTTTCGCACGCAACCTTGATGCGAAGGCGAAAAATTTCCGATTGGGAGCTAAGCGTCGCGAACACACCCTGAAGCGGTGACAGCGCAGCGCTCCGCGCACCATGAGTCGGCCACGTAGGTACCTGTTTGACCGACCTTTTGATGAAACATGACAGTGTGCTCGTGGGTGCTACGTCATCATACGATGATCCGGGGTAGACGAACGTTGTTTTCCGGGCGGTGGGAATACAGCTGTTCACCGCCACGCCACACACCACCGTTTACAGGGTGATGCTGGAGCATCTGGCATGTTGAGAAAGGGTAGTTGTAAGTTTGAGTGCGAAAGCAACGTAATAAGAGGCGAATTTGCTTTCTCGGAGATGAACGGAACGGTTTGGTCGATGTGTATTATTTACTAAGTGTACTACTGGGACATGTGTTGGCCATGGCCATGCTGGCTTGCAGGGCACAGGTGGCGCAAGTTTGCAGCGATGCGAAGAAAAAAAAGTCTTTCTGAACTGATGGTTGGGTTCATCATACTCGAGACCATGAACTAAGTGGTCCGACACGTAAGATCTAATAAGAGAGGAAAAACATCGGTGTAAAGGTATCCTCGCCACGCTATGCCGCCGAGTGCTTGTATTGAGATGGGTAGATGAGAAAATGCCAAACGCTATGTGTAAAATGCACAATCATGAACCACCACACCAAAACAGTGCTGTGACAGAACGGTTGAAAGAACAAACAATGACAATGCGAGTCTAGACAGAAACCAAACAAACGCTATGATGTTCTGCGATGCGAGAGGAGGAAAAAAAACCAGAATGCCAAAGAGATGATATCAATGCGAGAAATGTAACAACCAACCCACGCTAAATGCCACAGTCGTGCGGATGCCCCTTCGTTGTTGACGTTCATCCATGCTCTGAGCGCGGTTTCCCCAGTCTAAGCGTTCGTGGTATACCCATACTCCTAAACTCTCCCTCTTGTGCGCCGAAACCCAGGGTATACCCACGCTCATTACGGTTCCTGCCCGAATGTTGTATGCATTGCATCCCAAATATGTCTATATCCCATCTACTACAAAAAAATGAAAATCGTTGCGTTGAATAATGCGACGGCGAAATCTTCTATGCAACTGCTGATGCCGGTCGCTCGTAAGGCGTGGACGGTTGAGGCGGGGAGGGTACTGTGGCTGTTCGCTCGGTTTCCTCTGGCTCGCGCTTCATGCTCTTGATGCTTCCGGTCGCACTCCGTTGGGACATCCTGTCAGGACTCCTCACACCCTGGCTCCGTGCCTCGTGTTCCGATCGTGATGGGCCTGCTGCAGCCTCTTCTTCCCGCCTCCTCTGGTGGTAAGCCTCCATATAGCTAGGTCCCTCCAACTCTCGCTTGATGATCGACTGCATCCCTGGTACGGGTGCTGTCCGGGCACCGCTGATCAAGTCCTCTTCTGACTGTGGTTGAATCTGGGGAAGAGGTTGACCTAGCTGAGGGGGAACACTCGACCGGGATCGAGGGTCTGCGCGTCTGCGACTGAATGAGCTATTCCTCCTCCTTCGTCCACCTGCACTCGAGCCACTGTCGGTCCGCTGGTGACCGTAGTGCATCGGTGGTCCTTGAGGCATTGGTGGGGGCACCTGGTGCAGCTGCGGCGGCATCGGCGGTGGTTGCGGCATCAACTGAGGGGCGTTGGCGGGTGTGAAGCCATGCGGGGCAGAGGCAGGTACAACGGGCACTTGCGATGGCGAGCTCATGCCTGTACCGGTTGCAGATGGGTGAAGCTGAAACACCGGCGCATTTGCACGCGCGCTCATCTCCTGCTCTCCCAGCTGCCAGTGCATCGATTCGGCGGACCGCCAGGGAATGCCCATCTCTGTAGCAACCTTCTGCCACATTTGGTCCTTGAATCTAACACAAGAGTCAGTATTGATTTTTTTGGGGTGTATTGCGCAGAAACGCGTCGCGTGCGAGTGCGAGAATGTGCTGGGGTACATCTGAAACCAAAGATGTGGGCTCAAAACGAAGGAACAGATGACCAAAATGAAGCAGTCTGGGCATTCCGAGTTGTCGAGTGGTACATACCGTGCGTAGAGTCTTGCGAGTTTGTTTTTCTTCTCTTCGTCCCAAATGGCTCGCTTCTCGAGGTAGTTCTGATACCGTAATCGGCAGGAAATGGAGCTTCGTCCTGGTAGTCGTTTCGCAATGTCGTCCCACTTCATTCCTTGACCCCGCAGCTCAATAGTCAGGTTGTCCTCCTCTGGTGTCCATTTGGACTGCTTCTTGGCTGGACTTTCGTCGGGTAGAGGGGTTTGAGAAGCTTGTCGTTTTAGCGTTGAAGGGGGAGAATGGTTAGTATTTTGCGTGTGTCGAGGCGGTGAAGGTCCATGCGGGCCGGAGTAGAGAGGGCGAAAATGCGGGAGCGGGGCAGGTTCAGCATGTCGATGAAGTTCTGAGATTGCGGGTAGAACAGGTCCTCCTAGCATTGGTCCGGGTACTTGGGGTGCTGATGTCGGTGCCTGGGTGTAAGCGGACATTGGTGCATAGTGCGGGGGTCCTGGGTATGCGGGTGCTCCAGAAGCGTAGGCAGGCGACGCTCTTTGTGAGGGGGACTGTGTGTATGCTGAAGGCGCGGTTGTGTATCCTCTGGTCGCTCCTGTCGAGTGGGATGCATTTGATATGGAGCTCTTCTTGCTCGCAGGAGACTCTGAGCCCCGAGCGCGAGGCTCGAGGAGGAGGTTGATATCCAGGATGAAGGTGAGGGGACTAGCCTATTGCCAGCCCATGTATCGATGAAAGTTCCCGAATAACCTGAGTCCTCCGAAAGCTGAACTTGTTGAGATCGTGTAAGATCAGTCAGTAGTTGCGACGTGGGGATAGGCGGCTGTAAAGTAAGAAGTGGAGCAGATAGATGGCTATCTGTAGGTTGAACGTCTACCGGTCAGGTTGGGCGTTATGTCGTAAGGTTGATGTCCAAGGTAGCCTTGAAGATGATGACAGGTACCAAAGTAAACGGTACGACGATCAGCCCAGGCGTGGCGTTGGGCAGAGGCAAGGCAGAAAGTGGTGATGCGTCGAGGTACAGTGACTGTTGATGTGCAGATGAAGTTGGTAAACAACAACAAGGAGGCGATACGTGATATGGGTAGCTGTGCAGGAGGGTGGAACAGGAGAGGACAGTGGTAGGATGATGAGGTTCGGATAGACTAAATGTGCCGACGATGACCCAAGTAGCCAGTTGGGAGGTACTTTGGATGATTCACGCTCTAAGTGGTCGATCGACTCGAGCTATTTGGGCTATGGGCCGGGGCTTTCTGAGCAGGGGGTGAAACAGGCCAACCACTCGGTCTGATGAATGACGGGCGTGCTTAGCCACTGACTTTTCAGGTCGAGAAGGTAGGAAGCGTAGCGTAGGGGAGCAGTGGATACGGGCTGGTAAGAGCAAAGTAGGGTCTGAGAGGGACTTGGAACATGGATGCGTGAATAGAGAGGCTTAGCGTGCGACTGTGATACTAATAGCAGGCATCCCTTGAGGCCCTGGCTGGCGCCGCCTCATGGTCCGCGGTAGGGATCCGGGGGCTTGGGATCAGGATGTACCCTTTGCGTTTCTGACTTGACACCACTACTTTCGCGCTTAACGCTTTCTCGACTCGTGCTGGCGGCGCGCCACATTAACGACCCACAGACCACAGCATTACCACAGCTGATCCGATCTAAGGAAGCATGTCTGCCGGAGATTTTAGCGAGACCAAAAAGAAATGGACAGGCCAAATTGCAAGCGTTAGCTTGACACAAAAAGCACGACACCCGTTCTTGCGTGGTAAGGTACAGCGATGACGTGTCTTGCACTCGAGTAGTAGTGGGAGTAATAACAATAATAGTATTAGCCAACCTGCTCACCCTCGTGGACGTGGGAGACGACTCCGATGCATTGCGTTGATATTGGCTTTGCCGGCGTGGTGTGCTGGGCCTCATTTGCTGCCCTCCTTTCCGTCAGGCCTCAATGCGCCGCCCAAAGACGGGGCTGCGGCTTTTGCAGCAGGGCCGCTGCGTTCACGATCGTCGACGAAGCGGCTGGAGCGTGTTTCTGTCACTCGAGGCAGCGAATCAAGGATAGTATTAAGCGGTGAACAGTCTCAGGGATTCGCTGAGGGTTCGGAAGAGCACAAGCGCGATGACATGGAAGATCTGCAGCATGCTCGCCCTGCTCCGGCTATTTGACGCCAGAAGCGTCGCTACCGAAGCCTTGCGAACGGCTGACATCAATCAGGCGGTGCAGGTGGTGATGTGTTCACGCCAACGTCTTGACAACGTCGAAGACATGCTCCACAGGTGCAATTCCTGCGTTCATGGCTCCGGTCAAGTACCCCACTGTGGGCGGCGATCTAGCAGTATCGACGCATGCCCAAGAGGAGCGGTGAACTGCGGTGAACTGCGGTGAACTGCCGGCGGCCGTGGGCGTGACGTCTAGCTTTGCCGCCTAACTGTTCATAGTGTTCAAGGCGCGCCATAACACGATGCTGGCTCGCTGGTGTTTATGCGACTGATGGAGACGCCGGGTGGTAGCGTCGGCCTCATCCGCAACGAGACGTGTTTTTGTGCGCCCCTCGCCCACGTGAGACGCGGCGCTGTATCGCGCTGCGGCGGTGCTGATGCTGCTGTGTTGTCTCGTGTTGGAGAGCCACGTTGTTGAAGCTACGAGAAGGCGCCGCTATGCCATGTCACGTTGCTGCCGACGTTGCGTTGTGCGCCATGGGCGGCAGCGCTCGCGGGTGCCGGATTGCATCACGGGACTGGGATTCGCGATGATGCGCATTAGGCGGTGAGAAGAGGCCGAACTGGACGGATGTTTTGGATGAGGTTGGATATAGTAGGTAGGCCCTTGGGCCAGTGGGAGCCGAGATGCAGGTGCATTAGCCATGAACCATCCCCGTGCGTTGTCCAACGCTAGGGCACGAGGCCTTTCGTCGGCGCCGCACGGCGTGGTTGAGTGATTGAAGGATTAAAGGACTCCCCACAGATGTCTTCGCAATCTACCTACGGCCGACGGCATGCGAACTGGACTTTCCACAATCCTGGTAAATGTCCTGCCGTACTGGACGACGCCTGCTTGCAGGTGCCACAGCCTCCGACCTTTGCGTGTACGCAAATCTGCAAAGGCGCAGCACTCTATATTTAAAGAAGACTTGCATTGCATACAAAGAGCGGTGAAGTCTGTTCACTGTTGGAGGGAAATTCCGACTGAACAATGTCCACATCCTGTTGACGCTGGTGTGCAAGCGCTGGCTCGGAGGCGCCCGCGCGAACAGTGCCGGAACATGTCATTAAATCCACCCTGTCTTGGCTGAAGATCGGATGGTTTCGCATCCTTCGTATGAGGCAGCTCGACCCGGATGTCACTGGCAGGCCTCACCTCGACGAAGATCATCATAAATAAACCGCCCACGCGTGAACGACGCCAGCGCACACAGCGTGGGGTTGTATCTCGACTTCCCACGCACTTGTGTGATGTAAGTGAGCGCGTGGGGTAGGCGTGGGTGGTGGGCGTTCATGATGGGTTCTGAGACATTCACTGTGGTTGAAAACCATGGCCTTGGCATCGCTTAGCATACTCGATACAGCCATGCTCCAATGCTTTTCCTCGGCCCTACACCACTCGTAACCTATCCCGCATACAGAACGGGTCACCTGTCAACGGTACACCATCAACACCAGCAACAACTCATACCACATTCATCCTCCTACATTACCCCTCTAGTCTCGACAGATACCTCGGCTTGTCGACATGTCACTCCAGAGTGCGGCAGACGTGCCGCTCCTCATTAGCTCCCCGAATTCGTCCTCGGAGCGCCGTATTTCTCCGTCTTGGAGCATTGCTCAACTCAAGGCACGCCTCGAACCCATCACCGGTGTCCCCGCAAGCAGTCAACAGTTGTCGCTGCGCGTTGGCTCTCAGGATGCCGTCGCTCTCATCGCTCCGGATGAGGAACAGACGCGTCTTGCTGCCTTCCCGCTGCAACCGTATGCGGAGATAACCGTAAGTGCTCCTCCTGCTTTCTCATTGAACAGTCGCCGCAGCCCTGTCCTTGACCAGTCTACCATGCGGTCCTCTCGCGAGCTGCCACATCTCTCCAACCCCGGCTCGCCTCTCTACTTCCTTGTATCTTCTACTCTACACCCAAGCTTAGCAGTTTCATGCGTCCTGCCTCCCATCTTCCCCATTCGTTGTCAAGGCCGACATTGAGGCTGTGGACTTTAATCAGGTCATGCCTGCATATTTGCATGCCCCGCAGTGCCCCTCCTCGACTCTACAACCCAGTTATGTCAGCCTTGGTGGAGCGATCCGCGCGGAAGCCATGCTTTGTTCCACCTGCAATTACCACATCGTCTTGAAGCGCTGAGCTCCCTTTGGTACTCGGCATCGAGTACCGGTCATTTAAACTTTCAATCTGCTGAACAACCTTTCTCTGTTGTTTGCCATTTCTTTTTCGGCGGTTCGGCCTTATTCGACGCCTCTCTTGGCCTCATGATTCATCCCATGTACCGGCTCCTAGCTAGAGCAATCTCAACTGGCGTCTCCGAGCAAATGAATCCTCTCATACATGCTCCCGTGCTGACAAGGCAAATTTAGGTCGTTGACACACGTCCTCCCGCTGCACGAACTGACTTTACCGATCTGTCGTCCGTTGAGAAGTACGAAATGCCTGCTGCAGAGTACGAGCATCGGACCGATAGTGTTCTTGCATGGAAGAAGGCGCAGAAACTGGGTCGTTTCGACCCAGATGCTCCCAGTATTGAGCAGCAGAAGATCCGCGCCTCAGAGCGGGAAATAGAAGAAAGAGGTAAGCCGCATGATTTCCCGCATGTCCCACCTCACCGTTGAGCCGTACGCTGTGGCAATGGATATGCCGGAACCCGCAGAACAGCCTTGTAAAGATCCATGCTGTTCAAGTGTACAAGCCGGAGATGCTTCAAACACTTCCCAAAACGGACGGCTGCATACCATCCAACGCCACTCAACACTCGCCTCACCATAGCAGGATCCATCGTGTCTCAGCCTGTCATGATCATGGTCCAACGAGGAAACGTGCGCGACAGGCAGCCAATCTCCCATACCAATTGTCGTCTTACCAAGCCCGTCATACATGATTACCTCTTCAAGCACGCCCTGCGTCCAATCCTTGGCCCAGACCTTCGTAGCGGGATGCCATGGCGTTTGAAGATTCATCCATTAAGCACATGTACAAGATGAGATTTACCACTTGGGAATTGCTTACTACTACTACCGTCGGTCGTATCCAACGCTGTTATCGCCCCCGCTAGTTACCCGTTCTGGCAGGGACCAGGCTGCGGGAAAAGGAAGTCGCCGAAACTCAAAACCCCCAAAGTGATCGTCGGTCCCTTTGCCACCAGCCTCATTCTCCAGCTTCATTCGTCCGTAACCAGCGACAAATTCATCTCACCTCCAAATACACTTTCCAACTACGACGACCAACATCTTGTTTCCCCATGTTGCAAATCTTGGTCTCGCCTTTGT